AAAAAAAAGAGGAGGGTGGGGTGAGAGGAATAGACTTTGAGCCGACATTCCAGAGTAAAAATTGACGAACGCGAAGTATGCGATATCATGATCGATGTTAGGGGGAGGGGAAGGGGAAAAAAAGAAAAGGGTAGCGTTAAAACTAGCGAACGTATGTTGATTTTCGGAAACGTCACCGAGCCATCGGCTCTGCGTTTTTCGACCATCCCGTCTGAGGAAATCGTGTTTGAAGACGTGTGGGCAGTGGGTTTTATGGAGTTTGTCGCGCACATTCTCGATTCTCAAACTGGGAATACAATTCGATAGGAGGCACTAAATTTCGAACTGATAGCACGCGGAATCGTTCGGACAGTTAACCAAGGTGTATCGAAGTAGGTGAAGTCAGAGAAGTGTCTTGTCGAGACAGGTGAGCAATGAACCGAGCCTCCGGATGCAGGGCTCTCCTTACCCGAGGTGGTTCTCGAAGGCAGAGGAATTCTGTTTGCACCTTTCCTTCGGGATCTTCGCACGTAATTGCGCGACGATGTGAACGACGCACTTGGCATTTTTATCGTGCTTCCCGTAAAATTATGCGAGAAACGGTAAAACAACTAAACACTAAACAATGGCGACACTTCCACCGAGCCCAGCGGCCATCTTCTCTTTGACGGTAGGGCTGCCGACTGGTGCCAGACCGCCAATCGGATGAATTTCTGCTCTTCCCCTCTCTCCCCGCCGACCTCCCTCCAACCAAAGCGATCCTTCTCTCTTGCCTTCTACCCCTTACCGATTCCCTCTTCTGCAATGGATCGTGACACAAGCAACCAACATCAGTATAGAGTTATGGATACCACGGGCCGAAATACTGATTTATCCTGCATAACCGCAATCCTATCATGTTTCGTTCTGTCGGTGATGTACGTCGCGAGCCTCTATGTATGGAATTCACCGTACAGTAGGTATGTATGATTATTAACAGCCGGATAAACGTCAATCTTTAAATGTCCATTTTGTCGAACCGTGTATGCTCTCTCTATCGGTCCTTTAACAGTGAACTACAGGAAACCACGAACAAAGTGTAACTGTATTCACGTCGGCTGAGAACATGAATATGTCTACGCTTTGATTCTCCCATTCACGCAGCCGCTTTTCTGGACAAGAATCGAACCACAGCGCCTCTGTTGGTCAACTTTTTCTTTCGATTTCTCCTGCATTTCGCGCGTCATTTCGAATCGTCCGTGTTGATAATTATTTAAATCGTTTACCAACATACCAATTTACTAATTATTATATTTTTATTTGAATTTAACGAAAAAAAAACAAAGTAATACTTTAAGAAAAAGTGCGAGATCAATAAAATATCAGTAAAATTTTTTCTTGCAGGGAACATCCTACTGTAATAAAAAAAAGATTTTTTAGCGTCTTCATTATGTCTCTTATATCTCCTGCTTTACTGTATTTTGGAATAAATGAGAAAGTATTTCAAAAGGTAATTAATTAATTACAATGTTACTTGATTAATGGTAATTAATTACACAGTGAATTCCATATTGTGATTTGTAACTTTCAGGCAACAATTTGGGAATTATTGGGTCTACGATGGCCTGGTTTAATTCAAGCAATCTTAATACCATTGTTACTAACAATGATATTATTTCTAGGGCCAATATGTGTACAAGGTTTTAATGGACTTTGGAGATTATATACTGGTTAGTATTTTAAATTGATGATATATATATAAATGTCTGAATATTTAAATCAAGTGATTCAATGAGAGATTATTTTACAAGTATATAATTTAATTTTTTTAGAGCCTATGTATTGGCTTGGAAGTGTACGAACGATAATATGGTGGAGAAATTTAGTAGTTGCTCCTTTAGCTGAAGAATGGACATTTAGAGCATGTATGTTACCATTGCTTTTGCAATGTTTTACACCAACTACTGCCATATTTATATGTCCTTTATTTTTTGGTGTTGCTCATTTTCATCTTGTAGTAGATAGAGTAAGAGCAGGCATGAATCTTAAGCATGCCCTTTTTATCTCTTGTAAGTATTTTTTTTTTAACTTTAATTTATTCCAAGTTTATGAGTATATAAATCTTTTTGATACTTTTGGTATAGGTTTTCAATTCGTATTCACAACATTATTTGGAGCATATGCTGCTTTTCTTTTCGCTAAAACAGGTATAGTATGATTTCGATTAATTTTTTAATTTAATTTTACATGTCTTTTTACTTCAAGGAAATAAACTTTTTATAGGACATTTAGCAGCGCCATTTACGGCACATTCTTTTTGTAATCACATGGGATGTCCTGATTTTTCTGAAGTTGTTGCAGTTAAAGATCCATTAAAAAGAGCTGGATTGTTTTCTTTGTTTGTAATTGGACTAGTAGCTTGGTGTTTTTTATTGACGCCAATGACAAATCCAAGATTATTTTATAATAATTTATTTTGGCATAAAAATTTTATATGAGTGTGATTTATTTGCAACAATGTCACTAATGTTATGTAAATCTTTTATAAAAAAAAAACTAGTCTAACTTGAACTGATATCATTTTAAGAATTTATATTGCATGATATTTTTTAAGAAGTGTTTGTTACTTAACAAATTGTATCTCATACAAGATAACGAGACTGTTTGCAAGTTACACCAGTTAGGTACAATTTTATCAAACACAGATGTACTTCTGTAAGTTAGAAGCTAATTAAATTCGCGCAATATTTTTTAGTTTTAATTTCTGATCAGGTTTTGTATAAAATAATTATTATTATACAAACAAGTTACCATAAGCAAGTTAATCATGCAATATAGAACTAATATAAAATCACCGTAGTGCCTCAAATTTAATTCAATTTACATAGTTATACTTATGAATGCCAATAAAACTTTAGGCAAAGTTCTTGAAATAAAGATGTTAATAAAATATTGTATAGTTTAAAAAATATGACATTGTTACAATAAATAGTGTGTTATTTTGAATTGATAAAAAAATGTTGTTTCCATAAAAATATATCTTTTTGGAAATGTTTTGTGATATATTATACAAGTATGAAAAAGTTTTTTATTTTGAATTTACTTAAGTATTTTCTACTTATATATACAGAAACATATTTACATTCATGTAAAAACTAACAATACATACATTTACTGTTTATTTAAATCACAGAAATAACAGATAACAGTATTACAACATTTGCCATAAATGTGTACAATTATTTATATAGCAAAGAAATATAAGAAAATATATAAAAGTTTAAATATTGAGACAATATCCTTTTATCCAGGAAAGATCATTTTAGAACTCATCATTGTATGTATCATATAAAATGTGTATTTGATCTTGTATCTACATTTTGTATCGTCAATTTTATATCTCCTTTGATGTATACATTTTAATCACAATTTATTGTTCATAAGTTTTTCGAATAGAAAAAATTTGAATTGTTAAATAAAAAAAGCAATATGTAAAATTTCAAGTGATGCAAAGAGAATGCATATTGTTTCTTATTTCAATTAATATACTTATTTACAAATATTTTATCCTTACAATTCTTATAAAAATTTACATGTTAACCTTACAAACAAGGTTATTTTTATTCAAAATAAAAAAATTGTTATGTTAGGAACCGTAACTGCAATTTCTATTAACAATTTGAAAATAAATAAATCATTTTTAAGCGTAAAAATTAGTTCTTGAGATTTCTACAAAATGCATTATTTTTTGTATTACCTTCATACCTGACTAGGCCCAGGTGTTGCATCAGTATTTTGTGATTGATTAAGAAATAGTACATTGCTAGTTTTTATACTTGGGCCTGTAGATATAAGTGATGGACATGGACTAATACATGGTGTTGAGGAATGACTGTTACTTAAATCACATTGATCTAATAATTTCCAAAGTTCTTCTGGTGTAGGTCCACCAGAGACATCTATAATTAACATGTTTGATGTTACAATTGATGTTATTAAATTCATTAGAGAAGTAAAAGATAATCATGTTACTTTGAGTAGAAGAGAAAGATGGTTCTAAAGCTGTTGTGAGATCCCACATCTGAATGGTACCATTAGAATGACCAGTGAATATAAAACGCCTGGGTCTTGAACCCATACGGCTAGATCCTTCACATTCATGTACGTAAAAAGAGCTTATAATACTACCATCCACTGATTTGATTACACAAACTCTTTTTCCATTTGACGCTAAGCGTACGAATAATTGATCAGTCTCAGGTACAACTTTTTGAACAAAGACTTGTTCATCATCTTGTTCACCAAATGGTCCTATGTTTTGTAGTATGACAATTAACTTTTGTTAATTTATAATAATTTTTCATATAACATACCAAAATCATTTCCAGCATTGTAACTAATGCAAGATTCGATTGCTTCTAAAGATACAATTTTAAAGCTAGCTTCGGGTGTTGACCCAGGTTGAGTAGAAATCATTCCACGGAATCTCGTTACTGCCCAACTTCTAACATGGTTGTATTCAGAACACACGGATACTAAATACTTTTCTGACAATGTTACCTGCAATATAATTTATTCATTATATATGTAGGCAATTTGTAAATTCATTTTAATAGAAATAAATGTGATACAAACATACTTTTGTTACACTACTTTGATGTACAGTAAATGTTTGAAACAATTGTGGGCCATGTCCTACAGTTTCAGGATGTTGGACTATAACTCGAACACTGCCAGATTTTGTACCATACGCAATTTCAATCCAATTACCACAGACAGCTGTATAAAAAAATTATAAAATTATAACATACCGTTTCTTTTTAAATTATTTAAGTTTTTCAATGTAACTACATGTCTTAATATCAAATGTAAATAACACGATACCGACATGTATTAAAAATTGTAGTGATGAAAGAAAATATGTATTTATAATACATGTTATGATGTGTTTTGTTAATAAATAACCTACGTGCATATTACATGCGTTATAATGATTAAGGAAGAATAAATATAAATAAATATAAATATATTAATAGAATTATTAATACACATTTAAAACATTTTTTAAATAGGAAAAGATGTATATTATTTATATTTTAATAAAACTTTATGCATATATACTAGAATAAATGACACACACACACATACACACACAGACGCACGCACGCACGCATATATATATATATATATATATATATATATGCTACAAACAAAATAATGTTGATATGCATTTGGTATTGTTTAAAACGAAGAATAATTACGCAAGCAGAGGTACGTGTTTTTTATTTTCTTCCCTTCCCCTCTCAGATGTCATAAATATGTTACCATACTCTTAACATACTTAATGAAATAAGAAAATGATGAAAGTGTTATAAGTACAACTGGATGCATAAGGATAGCGGGGTGTGCAGTCTAAGACGAAAATAATTAGGGTTTTAAATGTATTTTTAACTCTAGTTTGTTGAGTATACATTCTTGTTTAATTAAAAGTGATATAAATAAGCCTATTTTTTATGTGTATGTAAATATATGCTTAAAATTTTGTTATTAAGTACCGTTAGAAGCAATATGTAAATATGAATTTGTGCATTGATTTGATACAAAATGATAAATTATATCTGGAGAGGAAGGGTATGGATACTAATTCAAAATAATGTATTATGTTCAATGTAATATAAAATGTAGAGAAATTTATGTCAATTTGAACTATGATTTGAATGTGAAAATATTGTAGAACATTGTCGTATTGACCCATACTTGCCTTGTGCTATTTATCCAGTTGTACGAAATCATGAAGCAAAGAATGTAATAATAAACTCTTATTAATATTGAAATATAGCATTGAACTTTACAATAGAAGATAGAGTGTTTGTATTTGAACAAATGTGACCCTTATTGATATGTTAAATCAAAAGAAAATTATACTATATAATGAAATTTATGATTACAATTAATTATTAATATATATAAATAGTAAAATCGCATAAATCATTAAAAAATATAAAAAAAAATATACAAGTGACGTTTGTTATTACATTCCTCAATACAAGCAGATTTAATAATTAAATTTTAGTCCACTTATTTGTACGTCACTGGAATAGATATTTCTGGAATAGAAATACTGTAATATTCAATTTTATGAACTATGAGTTAATTATTATTTACCTAGAATTTTTATGTTTAACTATTTACCAGAATAATATTGTGGTATAAAAAATGAATACTGGAACTTACATGTTTTTGGTGTTAAATATACAGATATGGCTGTAATAGGATCATAATTTGGATCACGGTATAATTCAGTTACAAGCAAGTCATTGTCCTTCATTCTTAAAGGAAATTTTTCCATGTCTGAAAATTAATTTTATATTCATTCATAATTATGAAATCTATTTTATCTTAGAAGTACTACAATTTATATTACCAATGTAATAAATAGACCCATTGTTGCATCCCAATAGAAGAAATGAACCAGCTGTGTCAAATGATAAAATAGGTACTACATCTTGTATTTGCCAATGATGTGTCATAGCATGCCATACCCCAATTTTATCAGTAGGAGATAGAGCAACTAATTGACTTCCAATAAAAAATAAATATTCCACACGAACATTTAAATTAAATGTGCCAATATTAGTCTTCATCCCATTTGCTGAAATACTCCATAATCTGACCTGATTTCCATAAGAAATTGCAACCATTTTAACATCTCCACTAGTACTTAATTTTGATGTTATTGCCACTCTTTCAATTACTGATTCAATGTGAGGACTAGTAAATGCATGTTGCCAACCAGATGAGTCTTTAAGTCGATAACATGTTATAAAATGTGCATAAGCAATTACAATCCAATTATGATGTGCTTTTATGATCTGAACTCTTAAGGGATCAACCCAGGATGAAACTATATAAAAATACATTTGTTAGTTTTTTTAATCGGAATTAACAAAATAATCATATTTGTTTACCTTGTTGAGGCCCGAATACTAAGCTTATATCATTTTTATATAATTTATTTAGGTCTGCTGAATTATTTCTAACATGTCTTAAATCTAAAGATGATGTACGTGAATGTGGTAAGCCTTTTTGTTGGATTCTATAATCTAATGAAGAATTTCGTATATGACTGCTAAGTACTCCTTTATGATTTTGTTGTCCTACAACATGTCCAAATATGTATTAAATATTTATAGCAATTAATAAATGAATTAAATTAAGTGAGTATTTATTTAGTACCACTGTTATTATGATTATTAGAAGTTCCAGGAGTTGCACTTTGAGAAGTAGATGGTACATCTACTTTAGAATTAACATTATTGGTTGGAATTTTACCATGAACAGATACATCACCTACATTTGACGCAATAGTGGCAGGTTCTTGTAATGGTATACCTATTTGATAATATGAAATGTGATATATGAAATATATTTTACACACTTTTTTTCTTATAGAAAGGATCGATTAATCTTACTTGGTGGTGGTAAATAACCATAAAAC